CACAATGCCAACAACACATCAAGAAACTCAGAATGCCCAGCGGCCAACCACAAGTCCACCCCAACCCACCCTCAGGTGCACACCTGGCAGCACTTGAGGCCTGCCTCGATGATGAAGAACTTGGAGGAGTCGACCATGAAGGGCACGCGGCTGGCCTCCGGGTCCGACACCAGCAGGTTGACAAAGCGCGTCATGGCGGGCACGCCGTCAATCAGGCCGTCGTCCATGTTGATGTCAAGCACGTGGGCCCCGGCATTGACCTGCACATCCAGCATCCACACAGCAGCAGGAGTGTGCAAACACACCAGCCTCCACCATCCAAGCTGCAACACTCCAGCTGACGCCCAGCCTGTGCAGCATCTCAGCAAGCTGCATAATGCTGCCCAATCTTGGTACACACATCTTGAAGACAAACACAAAGCACCCCGCACCTGGGAGAGGGCAATGGACACGGCCTTGTCATAGTCGCCATCCACAATCGCCTTCTTGTAAATGATGGACCCCGCCACATTGCAGCGCTCCCCAATCATCAGGAACGTCTCCCGCATGTTGTCAGGGTTGGGCTGGTAGTTGAGCGGCTCCAGCCCGCTCAGCCGCAGAAGCTGTGGAACATCATGCAGCTGCCGGGGCGGGTAGGCAGATGCCATCTCCCGGATCGCAGCAATGTGCTCGGGTGTGGTGCCGCAGCAGCCGCCAATGGCATTCACCAGGCCCTCCTCGCCTGCAGGCAGGCACGGCATGCAGAACAATGTTGAACATTCGAAGCAGGACAGTGAAACGTAATCCTAGCAAGCAAAGCGAAGCAGCTGCCAGCAGCCAATTCCATGCTGGCTGCAGCAAGCCCATCCACCAGCAGGTCCAAACAGCAGTCATGCTCACAGAAGGGGCGGATGTCCTCTGCCATGTCTGGCCCGCGCTGGTCGTAGCCGCCCATGGCGTTGGGCAGGCCCGCATTGGGGTAGCAGAACACGTAGCAGTCGGCGCAGGCAGACAGGTTGGCAATGTACTGCTTCATGTCGCTGGCACCCAGCGCGCAGTTCAGCCCAATGGCCAACGGCTTGGCGTGGCTGACGCTGTTCCAAAACGCCTCGTTGGTCTGACCGCTCAGCGTGCGCCCAGAGTTGTCCACGATGGTGCCGCTGATGAACACAGGGATGCGCACGCCCTGCAGGCAAAACCACACAAAACAGCCCCTCACAAAATCTCAAGCAGGTGCGCATGCTCTTCTGCGTCTCTTCTTGCAATTGCAAAGCAACATGACAAACAGCAAGCAAGCAGCGAACAAGCAGGCAGCACTGCTCACCTGCTCTTCAAAGAAGCGCTCCAAAGCGTAGATGGCTGCCTTGGCGTTGCCCGTGTCAAAGATGGTCTCAACCAGGTACATGTCCACGCCTCCCTCGTACAGCGCCCGCGCCTGCTCATAGTAGGCCTGCTCAATCTCATCGTACGTCACGCCACGCAGGGCGGGGTTCTCCACGCTGGGGGACACGCTGAGCGTCTTGTTGGTGGGGCCAATGGCGCCCGCCACAAACTTGCGGCTGCCCGGGTTGGCCGCCATGTAGGCGGCTGTGGCCTTCTTGGCAAGCTGTGCTGCCGTACGGTTGATCAGGGCAACCTCCTCCACCTGGTCTAGCTGGTAGTCGGCCTGTGAAAAGGGCAGAGCGGGGTGACAAAAGCGCAGGCATCTCGTCGGCAGTGCAGCAAGAACAAAAGCAGGACCAGTAGCATGCTTAGGCAGGCAACAGCAGGGACCAGCGGCATGATTCATTCAGTTACAGCAGCAGCCGTTGGGAAGTAGGTCGCTCTTCAGGCAACCAGACCTGCGAGATGGTGGTGCCATTGAAGGTGTTGGTTTCAATGATGTCGGCGCCGCCGGTGAGGTACGCAGTGTGGATCTCCTCAATCACGTCGGGCCGAGTCAGCACCAGCAAATCGTTGTTGCCCTTGAGCTCATGCTCATGGCTCTTGTACCTGCGCCAGCCATCATGGGCATCATGGGCATCAAAGCAGCAACCGCATGCAAGCTCGGTGTGCAGAAATGAGTCTGGCAAGCAGCCAAGGTGGCTGCCACCATCTCAGCAATACATCAATGCCACCCTCGGCACCCAGCTGGACAGACAGCTGCCCAGCACCACTCCAGGCACACACCGCTCGCCGCGGAAGTCCTCCTCCTGCAGCTTGTAGCGCTGGATCATGGTGCCCATGGCGCCGTCGATGAAGATGATGCGCTCCTGCATCATCGCCTCCAGCTGGCCAAACGCCTCCGACTTGGCCAGCGGGTCGCGCCACGGCTGGTAGGCGGGCACAGGAGGCAGGTCTGTGTCTGGCGCGAGAGGATCCACACCAGCTGGAATGGGGTTGAGCTTGGGGGTGAATGCCGGGGTGCTGGGCTCTCCATTCAGCTTGCGCGGTGCAGTTGGCTTGCTCTTGGGATCCAGTGTGCCTGCGTAGTCGAGCAGACGCTCGGTGCTGTCTTCCCGGCGGTTGAGCAGCACATCCTCCACATACTCCAGCAGCTCCTTGTCAATCTTCTCATACAAATCCGCCTGGACCTGCAGGCATGTGACAAGAAGCATGCAAGTTGGTAAATTCAGTGTATCAATCATCCTGTATGGAACATGCTTCTGTGCTAACACTCCCCAGCACAAAAGCTGACCAACCTGACAGAAAACTACCCCTGTGATGCAGTGCCCAGCACCAATGTAAGTGTACCTGCGTGGCATTCACGATGCCCATGTCCATGCCCGCCTTGCAGGCGTGGTGCAGGAAGGCGCTGTGGAAGGCGCGCCGCACCGGCTCGTTGCCGCGGAAGGAAAATGCAATGTTGGACACGCCGCCGCTGATCTTGGCACCCGGGCACAGCCGCTTGATCTCCCGTGTGCCACGAATGAAATCGACGGCATAATTGTTGTGTTCCGCCATGCCGGTGCCCACAGTGAGGATGTTGGGATCGAAGATGATATCTTGAGGGTTGAACCCAACTTCCTCCACCAGAATGCGGTAAGCACGCTGGCAGATGCGCACCTACAGGCAGCCGAAGTGCACAGCAGGGCCATACATGCAAATCAGACGACCAGTAGGCTGTTCATTAACAGCAAGTGCAGGACAGCCAAGGCGAAAGCTCTCCAGCAAGTGCAGCGTCCAACCAGCTCAATGACGCACCTTGTTGGCACAGTCTGCCGCCTGCCCTTCCTCATCAAACGCCATCACCACCACAGCAGCGCCGTGACGCTTCACAATGCGTGCCTGCTCCCTGAACTTGTCCTCTCCCTCTTTCAGAGAGATGGAGTTGACAATGCACTTGCCCTGCGGCAGAACATGTAACAACACAGGTGGTCAGCTGTTGCTTTTCTATT